TCATTTTTTTGATTTCATCTTCTCAGGTAAAGTTCAGTCCATTCCTGTCGGTGTTTTGATAGGGCTTATGCGGTCATAGAGAAGAAAAATATAAACCCTAATTGTAGAACCAACTTTAGGGTGTGTTTGGGACAGCTTGTGCTTATCCTGAAATGCAGCCCGCGGGGTTCGACATGCTGCCTGCGTTTAGTGTAAAGACCCAACTGCGTTTTCAGATAAGCTGCTGAAACGCGTTTTCTAAACGGTGAGGCGACGATTTCAAAACGCCGCGCGTTTTCTAAACGGTGAGGCGACGATTTCAAAACGTCGCCCACACTTATAAGCTACCCCAAACGGGCCCTTAATCTTGACGCTAATCTTAGCTTAGGCTATGTGCATTACTTTTAAAATGATATTTAACCAGTGGAATGTAGAGATTACATTTTGGTGATATATTGTGCATATTTAAATTCATCTAATGAAGTATGAGAGTCTCCTAATACAATTCAACATCAGAAGCTTCATCAATGTAGAATAGATAAGAATCTCAAAAGTGCTATAAATATCATTATGGATCCACTCATGATGACACATGTTTTCGAAATCATTCAATCTCTCATCTCACACTTTGTAAATTTATATATTCTCATTGTTTCTCTTTTCTTTAATATGAGACAACAATGTTTATGATTTCAATATCATCATCATTATCAAAGGATTCATAAATAGGGTTGTTAACAATTCGATTTCAAGCCGAGCTAGAGTCGGCTCAAAATCGGTTGAAAAAAAACTCGATTCAAAATTTTAGCTCATAGCTTGGCTAGTTTATTTTGATCCGAGCCAAAATTCAGATCAATTTTCGAGCAATTAAAGATCTTCAAGCTAAATTCACTAAATTCACAGCCCTAACATCACTAAGGTTGTTAACGATCCGATTTCCGGGTCAGCTCGAAATTGGCTCAACAAAAATTTGATAAAAAAATTGGGTTTGTAGCTCAACTAATTTATTTCGATCCGAGCCAAAATTCAGATCAATT